CGTGGAGAGCAGGCAGGAGATGGAAAGGAAGGGAGAAGATGACGATGATGTGCAAAGAAGTGGTGGGGACAATGTGAAGGAGACAGCCCCTTTGGCTTCATGAGGGACATGACATCTGAAGGAGAAGCTACCCACCCCTCCATTAATGACCACCACTGGAGCCCGGGGAGACTCCCCTCTCTGGGCCTAAGTTCAGACCCACAGCTCGGGACTTCATTTTTCCTCCAGAGTAACTCCACCTCTCCAAGCTACGCTTTCAGAAAGCAGCTCTTGAAACCCCAGAAGCCTCAGGTACTTACTTATAAGAAGGATAAATGCTTGGGGACTGATAGGACCTGCTCAATAAATACTTGTTTCCATTTCATCAAACAGTTACAGATTTAATTTGAGCAGAAATAAATAATTCTACCAGATATCACCAAGTTGCATCTCAAACCCCCCCCCCCAAACCTCACTTTTTTCTCTGAGTTGTAAGACTTCAGTATTAAAGAATTCACTTCTGGTCAACCAATCACTTGTGTCTTCCTAGCTAGACCTAATCTTGATTTAAACAGATTTAAATCCAATCTGCTCTAGTCCCTAGAGGCCGTAACCTAAGAGGGAACACACCCAAGAAAGAACATAAAATGTCCCTAGAACTGCAGGAGGGAGACATACCATGGCAGCAGGCCCCATGGGTACCCTGGCCCGGCTGACACCCATGCCCAAAGCCTCCCTTCTTCCCTGAGTCACTGGACAGTTTTTCTAGAGAAGGGCACTTCAGAATTCCACTGAACTCTAGGAATCAAACAGGGACCCAAGTCAGAGGGATGAAAAGGGCCGATAAACCTGCATGCCAGCCACAGCCGACATACAGCATTGTCAGAGAAGCTTCTTTTCTGAGGGGAAAAATCAGTTCAATGAAGCGAGTCACCGGATGTCCTAGGGAGAAAGCCAATGGAAGTCACCGGAAGAATTCAGCAGAACTGGATTCACAGAAGCCTTGGAATGTGGACAGCAAAACCCAGGATCCCAAACACCCCAGTAGACAGGCCAAGGATCTGGCCAGCATCGCTGGCAGAGTGGGGTATCCACCCTGACCCCAACAAGCATTCATCCAGAGACCCCAAGGATCCCCTCTCCTCCAGGAGGCCCTACTCCAGGGGAGGGCTGTATGATAGAGCCTCTGGGCCTAGGCTGCTTCCCAAAGCTCTGTTCCCTCGCCCCCTTCTCTCTCCACTCTGACCTGCCCTTCCAGAGAGCCATCTCTCCTCTCTCTCCTGAGTTCCAAACCCCAACTTCCAAATGGATATGCCATCATTGTTGCAAACTCAACATGCCCCCAACAATCAAGTCATTTGGTCCACGAGCAGTCAGGCAGCACTGCTGGGTGCTGGGCACAGTGCAGAGCGCCGCAGGCACAAAGAAAGGCAAAGACCATGCCTGCCCTCGAGGAGCTGTCAGTCTAAGGGGAGACAACACGGAAGAGAAGGCACTGACAGCTCCGGAGCCTGGCAAAGGCAGTATCTGAGTCTCGAAAGAAGCCAGGGCAGTTTTGAGGCAGGAAAGGCGAGGAGGAAGAGCGCGGGCTACAGTGAGGGGCAGGGAGACTGAAAAGGCAGGCAGGGGCCAACCGAGGACTTTGTATCTGATCTCGGAGTTAACCAAGAAGGGGAGTGTGGGGCACGGTCAGACCAACGCTCTGACAGCAGAGCAAGGGGTGGGGAGACCAAAGGAAAGGCTGCTGTAATAGCCCAGGCCAGAGGGGTGCCTATAGGAGCAAGAGAAGGTGTGTACGTAGGAAGGATGTGGCCAGGGAAGGGAAAAGGACTTACTAAGGGTTTACTACGTGCTAGCTGGGGGGCCCTGGGAAAGTCACTTATGCCTGCTACCTCAGTTTCTTCAACCATAAAACAGGGGATAGCAGCCCCTAACAGCTGTTGTGGGGATCAAAGCCAACCACGGCACAGTGCCTGGTCCACAGAAGGTGCTTACACAGTAGGGCCTGTTCCCCCACCCCCCCCCAACTCCCCCCCTCCATGCTGATGATACAACTTCTAAAGGCGAGATGAGGCTCACACTCTAGTTTAAGGCAGTATTCTCACTAAAGGAAGTTCAGGCGGCTGGGCCAATGGCAAGGCCCCAGGGTCCTCCGGGGGGGGGTGAGAGTGAGGGGACCCCAGGGGACTGTCAGAGGAATAGAGAACTGTTTGAGGCACAGGGCTGAGCACAAGACGTCCTAGAGATGTCTAGCAAGCAATTAGGGATGGAATTAGGAGAAACAAAAGGCCTGGGGGAGGGGGAGGGTTACCCCTGAAAGTCACGGCACACAGACTGCTAATTGACCCCAAGGGAGAGGATGAGCTCATCAAGTGGGACAGTGCCTGGGGAACAGAATCGGGCCAGGCCTCAGGGCCCTAGGCTGCGCAGGTCTAACCTGGAGAAAGGTAGCTCAGGGGGAAGAGGTGGAGCAGAGGTAGATTCTAAGAGCAGTCAAACTAGTGAGTGTGTGAGCATGGGTTTGTGGGAAGAACAGCAGGCAGATCAGTCTGGCCAGACAGTCCCTCGGGTGGCAGGGAGGAATAGGTAAGACAAGGAAGCCAGGGGCCCTGCCATCCCTGAAGCCTGAGGTCAGAGGGGAACCAGGCCTGGGGCAAGAGGCACACCCAGATGGGCCTCAGAGTTCCCTGTGTGCCCCCTCCTTCCTTTGGGCTTCCCTGGAGGCCCAGCCTAATGGCTGCCGCTCACGTGAGGCTGAAAGGTAAGAAAACACCGCCCTGGGCTCCCCTCCTCTCCCTCCCTGCCTCCCAGTCTCTGTCAGAGGAATTCTCAAGTGCATCCATTCATCCACTTCCCAAGGAGGCGCCCTTGTGTGACCTAAGTGACCAGTGGCCAAGCTTCCATAAACTCACAAAATAATCGAAGTGATCCTGCAGCTTCCCCCCAAGCACCAGGAACCCCAAGACCACTGTGGAGAAATGAGGAGTCGGGACTCCTGCCACAGACACGCAGGGCCAGGGGGAGCTGGCTCTGCTTGGGCTTACTTGTTCAAAATGACCCTCAAGCAGATAGCTGACTGCATTCTGCCCCTGCACCTTCCTGATTGTGAGGCCCTTCACTCCAGCATACAGCTGAAACGGGCAGCACATGTTTTCTCCCATTAGAATGCGAGGTTCCCATGAACCAAGACAGACTTTCTACCTGCATGCCCAGCACTTAACACAGCACTCCTCATACACTAAGCATTAGGTCAGGCTTTAGGAAGGAGGACAGGAATCCTTCAGGTGGGCAGGCATGGACTGGGGGGAGGGGCATCTCCTGACAGATAAGGCCACAGCTTGCCTGAAGGAGGACCAGAGTACAATGTTATCATTTACAAGGAACCAATCACCAGGCAAACCCAGTGAAAGGGGTCCTCCCTCCAGGTGCTGACATAAGAAAGCCAGCTGGGTCTACTCAGCTGCCCCCAGGTGAGGGGGGCAGAGAGGGATGTACCCCAGCCACCTGCAGAATCTAAGCTCTGAGCAGTTTACATCATAAAGAGGCCGACAGAAAATAGGTGACTGCATTGTTTACATACAAGGACAAGAAGAAAACTGGATGTAGAAGGGAAGCTTGCCCAATTTCATGGGGGGCTGGAGGCACCCCGACTTGTTATTCACCTCCAGGAGTGAGCCAGAGCAGCCACACAGGGCCGGCCCAAGCGGCCTTGGGAGGGCCCCCCCACCCCTGGCAGCACCAAGTCTGGCATCTGGAGGGTGTGTCATGGTTTTCAAGAATAAGGGAAATGAGGTTGGCAGCTTTCATTTTTTCAACAGTTCCCTGAATCTTCCTAAGCCACTGACCCTGCTTACTCAGCCCGAGCCCCCCCACCCCCCAGCCCAGCCCTGGCCCAGGGGCACTTTGAGGGCAGGATTAAATCTGCCAGGCTCCCCACAGGCCCCTGACTGCCCCCCCCCCAGGCTAGCAGCAGCAGGACATCAAAGGAAGACTTTGGGGGTTACCTGCAATGGTGAGGCGGAGGAAGGACTCCCTCCCCCAAACCAACCTAAGCCAAACCTGGGTCATTTTCAGAATGCCTTCCTCTTGCTCAGGGCTCATTTCAACAGGACCACCCCACCCCCCACCCCCGGCGGGGCTAGCTGTCATCCGGCAGGCTGGCACTTCACAGGCCCTGAAGCCTGTGGCTTTGGGGGGCGGCAGCTCTTGCCACCCCACCCCCACCCCCGCCTTAGTGCCACGCTGGGGGCCTGGACGAGCCCCCCAGGACGCGATTCGGCGGCGGAGCTCGGCCCTGGAGCTCACCTGACCCGCCCGAGGGAGGAGAGGGCCAGGGGCCGCTCCCCAAGGCCTGTTCTTGGCCAAGGGTGGCCGGATGGGCAAGCAGGGAAGAAAGCCCAGCGCGGGGGACTGGGCTGGAGGGCCCGATCATAAACGAAGATCCGATGAGGTCACTTTACAGAGGGGGAAACTGAGGCGGGTGGGGGGGGGCCGGGCTCCTTCTTTACCTACTAAATCAGTTTCTCAGGAGTTCAGATTATGAATGAGACCCAGAGGCCCGGTCATGGGCCGGGGCTGCTGCAGAGGCGGGGCCCCTCCCGGGGCCCTCCTGACCCCCAGGCTCCCCGCCGCCCGGGACCCCACTTTACGGCGGGACCAGCCTCGCGCGAGCCCCATGACCCTCGGGCCCGAGCTGGGGCCCAGACAGGAGGGGCGGGGGGGGAGCCGCGGGTCCTGCCCTGGATGCCCCCCCCCAGCGGGGCCGACCTAGCCCGGGGACGGGGGAGGGGCAGGGGAAGCATCGCGGGGGGTGGGCGCGAGGCCGGGGCCAGACGGGCGTCGCGGGGGGGGAAAGGGAGGAGTACGGGAGGGGGAGGGGAAGCCTCACGGGGGGGGCACCGCAGGGGTGGGGAGCCGTGGCCGTGCTCGGCCCTTCCCCGTGATCGCAGCGGGGGGGCCCCCCCCACGCAGAGCCGGCTCCCAACCCTGCCCTCCCCTCCCCTCCCCCCGCCCGCACTCACAGTTGCGGATGTCCGAGATGAACACGGCCAGGCCCCGCATCCCGTCGCCCTTAGACACGGCCGGCATGATGGCGGCGGGGGCTACCGGGGGGGCGGCGTCTCTCGCTCGGTCTCTGGCCCGGTCTTCCGCCCGGCCTGGGTCTCTCTCCGCGTCTCCCCGCCGCCTCCGCTTCAGCCTCTCCGCCGCAGAAGCAGAAGCAGCAGCAGCAGCAGCAGCAGCAGCGCGCACGCGCCCCAGCCACGCACGCCCCGCCCCGACGTGCGCGCACGCGTACGCCCTGCCCAGGCGCGCGAGCGCGCCCTCCAGGTCAGTCACTCAGGGGCCGGAGGCCGGGGATAAGAGCGAGAGCCGAGGAGGTGGCGAGTAGCGAACCAGGGCGCCTGCGCGGGCCGGTGCTGCTCTTCCAGGTATCTACGGGAGACCGAGACCGGCCACTGGGGCAATCTGGATGGGCTTCCCGAAGGAGGTGGCTTGAGAAGCCGAGCCGGAGGCAGCCGAGCCTTCAAGTAGGGGTCTGGGCTCAGATTCGCCCCTTGCCCTGTCTGGGCCTGAGTTTGCCCTCTGTGGATGGGGGCCACCGGCCCTATTGCCTGGACTTCTTCCCTCCCAGGTTTGCTAAGCCGGCCCCCGGATCTCCTCCCCTTTTCAGCTTCCCTGGCCCCGCCGCCCCGCCTGCGCTTCCCTAATTAAAGTGAAAGCTCCCCTAGGGCAGGCACTGCCTTGTGTTTAAGGGGGTAGCGCTCGGCACACAATACGCGCTTAATAAGTGCTTGTTGGCTGAAGAACTAGAGCCCGAGCCCATCCCAGGGGCAAGCTGTAGGGCTCGGTTCAGAGCAGGAGCCGGGGTCAGGAAGGAGCCCGCAGAGCATCCTGGAGCGTCCTGTCCACTGGCTCCGGCCAGGACTGATGGCCACCCCTGCCCTCCTGGGCTGTTTTCACCGTTTTCTATGGCGCACGGGCTGGAGGTCTCTGCTCCCTTGGCCCTTGGCCCTCCCACTATCTTCACCTCCAGGGCCCAGGACATCCGCCAGGCCAGTGCCTGGCACCTAGTGGGTGCCTAATAAATGCTCATTGTCAAGAGCCTACCCAGACTCAGGCTGGGCTCAGGCTGCCACTCTAAGCCTCAGTGAATCTTCTTTTGTCCCCAGCAGTACAAACAATCCCAAACACTGCCCAAAGGACTCCTCTCCTTGGAGTCCCAAGGCCTTCCGTCTCCACCCCCGCCTTGGTCCAGCCACCAGGGCTTAGGCCAACAGACCTACACACACACACACAAACCATGAAACCCTTCCTGTGTGCCAAGTCCTGGGGCTGAGCTGCTGGGATGAAGAGTTAGGCCAGGCCTAGGCTCAAAGTCAGGCTTGGGGTGCTCAGGCCTAGGGGCTGCAGTGCTGAAGGGGGGGAGAGGAAGGCCTTGGGGCCGGGCCACTGACTTCTAAGACTTCTCACCCACTTCCCACCCAGTGAAGGAATCCCCCCTTTTGCGATGGCTGAGCAGCCTCTGTCAGCACAGCCAGAGATGGGAAGCGCCCTCCCTCCCCTTTACCTCCAGCTAAAAATGACTGGGGAGCTCTTCAGCATCAGCTTGAGGGATACAGATACAAGCCCCTCAAGGAGCTTCCTTTTTTTTTTTTGAGGTCAGATTTGAACACAGGTCCTCCTGACTCCAGGGCCCATGTTCTATCCACTGCTCCCGCTAGCTGCCCCAAGAAGCTCCTGTCCTAAGGGGAGAAGACAGGAGGAGTAGGAAGCCAGATGAAGGTGCCCAAGCTACAGAGAAGACTGGAGGAGGGAGGCAGCTAGGCAGGGTTAGGGTTCAAAAGGGAGATTCAGGAAAATCTTGCCCGAGGGGGAGGGCAGAGTCCTTGTGGAGGCCACCCAGGCTCTACTCCCTCCTCTCTTCACTCCCTCTCCGGGAAGACTCCATGGGCATCTCTCTGCTGAACCAAGCTCTCTCCTCGCCACTCACATCTCCAGCTGAATGAAGGTTATCATGAACCCTTGGTGAAGCCTGCAGGCCTTCCCTGTTGCTGACCACATAGAAGAGAGCCCCTAGTCCTGGCACGCGCTTCCCTCCATGACGTCGCTCTGCCTCCCCTTCCCAGCGCTAATGGTGAAGACTTTAAGGTTGGCAGAACACTCGCAAATATCTCAGTGGCTCCTCACAACACCCCTAGCAGACAAGTGCTAGGACTACCCCCATGTTACAGATGAGGAAACTGAGGCAGGCAGAGGGTAAGGGACCTATCCAAGGGGACGCACCTCATATCAGGGCTAGCATTCTGTGCCTTATGGTGCTCCCCAGCTGCACCCTGTGCCTGGAATGAGCTCACTCTCCCCTCTTTGGTGCCAGGCAGGAAGCTGGGGTGCAGTCCTTCAATAAACATTTATTAAGCACCTACTATGTACCTCTGTGTCTCAATATTGGTGCCTCCCCCCCCCCCAGAGAGATTTCACACAGAGTTCCTGCCAACCCAACACACGTGTGTTCTCTGCCAAGCCTTGTGCTGTGGGCTAGGGGAACCAGGGAGAATGAGAGTCCCCGCTTGCAGGGACTGGACATTCCCCTGGGGGAAGTACCTGGTGCACAGGGTTGTAAAGTGGCAGCAGCCAATAGGATGAGTCCAGGTATGTAAGTGCCTATTGTGTGCCAGGCACTGTGTATATAGACCACAGGGGATGCCAAGAGAGGCACAACAGCCCCTACTCTCAAGGGGCTCTGAGCTAATCGTGGAGAGAGCATGCACAGAGTGACCTACAAACCAGCTCTGTACCAGATGAGTCCGGCACGGTCCAACAGAGGGAAGGCACCGCCAGGATGGGGAAGGCAAAGGCTTCCTGGGGAAGAGCCAGGAGGCAAAGACTATGAGGAGCAGCATTCCAGGCAGGGGGGACAGCCAGTGCAGACGCCTGTAGTCCGGAGATGAAGGGTCTTGTTTGAGGAGCCCTGAGGAGGCCAGTGCCACTGGCTAGCTTTGGGTGCTTAGCACAGTATGTGGCACATAGGAGGTGCTTAACAAATGTTTATTGCCTGTTTAATAACTGAAAAGCACATGGAGGTGGTACAAGGGTGTCACAAGACTGGAAGGGAGGAGGGCGAGTTAGGGAAGTACTTTCACAGGCAAGCAGAGAGCTTTATTTTTCCTCCTGGAGGTGACAGTGAGCCATTGCAGGTTCCACCATAGGAGGGGTAACATGGTCACAGCTGGACAGCCAAGGATGGCCGGGGAGGACCTCCCCTGGAGTGGAGCCATGAGCGAGGCCTGTGTGTGCTGCGGGCCCCGGGGCCAGCCCTGTAAAGGCACAAGGCCCTGTTCACAGTGCTTTCTGACCACGGCCAATGACCTCGCGGGATGGTGTCTTCACTTGCTTGTGAATTGGATTTGAGTGAGGCAGAGCGGCACAAAGTCCTCAGCCTCACTCACTCTTCCTAAGTCATAAAAGTCCAACGGCAGGAGAAGAGTCAGTACAACTGGCGATGGCCCAGATGCAGCACGTGACCTTAGCATCCTTGAGGTCTGACCCAGCTCTGAGCACTCCATAGCACCACGTCAGCCGCCTCTGTGGCCCCGGAACCAACTGTTCTCACCCACCCATTCTGCTGGGAAGTCTTCATCTGCTTGGGGTAGATGCCCCCTAACTCACCCGTGGGTGAGGGTAAGCCCTGGTTTAGCCCGACTGCTCAGATGATTTTACCCGGTGTTGGCGCCTGGCATGCTCTAGCTTCTGGGAGCCACAGGGGAGATTTGCAGTGAGGACGCCAAAGGTGAATGAGCAGCCCTCACTGAACACCCCATACATGCTGTGTACACACACACATACACACAGTGCACACACATGTACACACATGCATGCACACACACATGTACACACAAACACTTCTGGGAGCCACAGGGCAAATTCAGGCAGTGAGGATGCCAAAGGTGAAAAGCAGCCCTCACCCCAGAGGGGCTGGTCCTCGCTGAATACCCCATGCACCCCACAATGTGCAACGATAAGTCTGCTGATTTGGCTGAATGTGAGGTATAGAGAGGATTTGGGTGAGAAAAGCCTCGAAAGACAGATTGGAATCTGCTTGTAAAGGGTTTCAAAAGTCAAACCTGGAGTTTGCATTTTTGGAATCTGCTTGTAAAGGGTTTCAAAAGTCAAACCTGGAGTTTGCATTTTTGGAATCTGCTTGTAAAGGGTTTCAAAAGTCAAACCTGGAGTTTGCATTTTTTCCCTGGAGCCAATAGGGAGCCACAGAGGATTCCTGAGTCCAGGCTTGTAGGCTGTCATTTGCCTGGCACAGGGCTGACCAGGGCCTGGAGCTAGGAGAGGCCAGAGGCAGAGATATGGGGGAGGGAACTGAGCAATGCCCACCAGCTGGCAAGGACGGTTCCTGGAGTTCCCCTGCCGCTCTGTTAAGCCTTCTCCTTGGGAGGGCCTAGCTCGGTGAAGAGGCCTTCTCCTCTCAGGCTTCCCTGGGCAGCTCCTCTGCAGCTCTCTGGGGCCAGGAACCTTGCCTCACTGTTCCCCGACAGCGCCAGGGCTTTGCCCACAGTGCCAGCGTTAGAACATTTCTGAGACCAGATTTGAACTCAGGTCTTCCGGACTGTAGGAACATCCCCCTACCCACTGTACCATCTCACTGCCTCTGGCATCTGAGGGATGTCTCCAAGTTCCTCAGGCTGCTGCCTGTCTGTGTGGCCTTTAGAAAACTGCCTTTTCTGCCTAGGCCTTGATCTCCTACTCTGTAGATGAGAGAGTGGACAGAAGAATAGACATCCAACTGGGGTCAGCGTCTGGAGTGCACAAAGTCCCTTCCTGGGGCTGGGCCTGGTTCCTTCTCTGTAAGAAGAGGCTGTTGGACTCAGTCTGAGTTCCCCAGGGCCCCTTCCACTCACTGAGTCAGCGCCTGGCCAGCAGCTGGTGGGCTGCCTGGGGGAGGGGAGCTCGTCCTGCTGAGCTGCCAAGTTTGCAGACAGAAGAGATCTTCGAAGAACTGGGTCAGCACCTTCTCGAGGAGGGGCCCCTCTGGCTGGCCTGGGAGAATCTGCTGAGTGGCTGGAAAACAGGAGCCACAGGAAGCTGCACTAGGGGTTTCGGGGGCAGGGAGAGGGGACCTCGTTCATCTGGAGGCACTTTGCCCAGAGAAGAGAGATGACACATGCTTTTGTCCAGAAATGTTGAGAAAGCTGCCTGCTCTTCCTGAAAAAGGCCCCAGCCAGCTCTGGCCTGGGGGTACGATGGTTGGGGGTTGGGGGGAGAGGAGAGCCAGGGCCTCCCAGCCAGGCAGGAGCTCTGGGAGGGATGGCCCTCTGGCCAGCATGTGAGGGACAAAGCTCCTTCTGGGCAGGACAGCTCCTCCACATCTGGGGCAGATGTCAGACAGCCGTGGCCAAGCCGAGGTCTCCACCCAGTTCAGAAAAGAGAAGTCATGTTCCCTCAGTGGCCACTGCAGGGCCTGGGGGTTTCCTGGAAAAAACAACAGAAAAAAAAAAAAAGCAGATTCAATGCTTGCCTAGGGCTTTGTGAAAATCCACCCGTTTGAAGGAAGAACAGTACAGTCACCTCCCTTTGCCCAGGCAAACATGCCCAAAAGCAGCCCTTTGCCCTCCTCCTTGGGGGGACCTCCTGGCCACAGAGGCTGTTGGGGGGCTGCCTGGCGTTAGGGTTGTAGGGGATAGAGACTTCAGTTCATGGTGGGGAGGAGATAGTGTTCAAGGAAGCAGATAGAGGCTGGCCTTGGGGGAACCTCCCGAGGCTGCCAAGGAACACACCCTGGGCTCCCCCAACTTCTCCTCTCAGTGACTCTCAGATGCCCCACAGGGCAGAGAGGTTAGCTTCAAGGTGCCTGAGGCTCTCCATGCACCATACCGCTGGCCCCACCAGCCCTTTCCAAATAAACTCTTCTTAACCCTTGTGACTTGGGCATCCCAAGACCTTGGCCCCATCTAAAGGGAAAGGGGACGACAACAGAATAAAAACTATTCTTGTGAGTGCTGGAGGTGCCTTGAAAAGGGCCAGGGGAGCTGAGGAGGGTGGGGGCCGCATTTTTAAAGATATTTTCACAACATCTATGTACCAGGGGCAAAAACAGAAGCCAGACAGACAGACCTTGCCCTCCTGAAGCTTACATTCTACCTAGACACACAAATATGGGCATAATTAATTTCCAGTGGGGGTGGGCATGGGGGGGGCAGGGATGGCATGGGAAGCTAGGGCAAATCAGAAAAGGCCTCATGGAAGAGGTGGCAGCTGGGCTGAGCTCTGAAGGAAGTTCTAGGTTCCAAGAGGTAGAGATGAGAAAAGAGGGCATTCCTAACGGAGTGTGGCAGGCCAAGGCTAGTGGGCCCGCTGACTTTGGCCAGTCCCTCCAGGTTTGCCTGGGTTCCTGACTGGGGGGAGAGAGGGAGGGCTGTCTGCTCCAGAGGAGAATCTGACTCCATGGCTTCAATCCCACACTCATGTCAGACTCCTGAGGAACAATTAAGTCTATGTTGGCCACACCAAGGTGCCCAGAGCCCACCTGGGAATCAGGACCAGAAGAGGCTGCTTCATTCCTTCCCAGAGAAAAGAAGATAATGCAGAGTGATAAAGCATCCTGAGATGATTGCAATCGTGCAAGAGCCTGGTGCCCAAGCTTCCGGAGACACTGGCCACAGGCCTGGGGGGCAGAGTCTCCCTCTCACCTCCCCTTGTGCAGCCCGATCAGTGCCAAGTGGGCAGTGATTTCTCTGGATGCCTCCTCCCCTCTTGGCCAGTTAGTCTCTGCTGTTACAGCTGCTACAACTGCTCTGGTAGTGCCAGGTGCCTGGGCAGGGTAGAAAATGCCAGCTGCCTTAGAGATCTCGCAAGACCCTCTTTAAAAGAAAAGGAGACAGAAATGGGAGGCAGCCCCATCCCAGACACAGGCTCGCCATGTGCTCACAGCCTGGTCTGGTGGGGGAAGAGGCAGCTCCCTCCCCTCCTCCAGAATTCAGAGTCATCCTTACACCTTGAGGCTAGCAGGAAGGAGAGACCCCCTCTCCTTTAGCATATCCTGAGATTTTTGGCTCTGTAGACAATTCTTTTGTTTTGGTTTGGTTTTGGCGAGGCAATGAGGTTAAGTGACTTGCCCAGGGTCACACAGCTAGTAAGTGTTATGTGTCTGAGGCCGGTTTTGAACTCAGGTCCTCATTACTCCAGGGCTGGTGCCCTATACAGAGCACCACCTAACTGTTGCCCCACCCCCCAGACAATTCTTAAAACCCTCATATGCAACAACAGTCAGATTTCTGCCTGTTCTGAAGGGGAGGGAGGGAAGGGTCCTTCCATTATGAAGCATCCCACTGAGGTTGGCATGGGGGACAGCCAGCCAGCGAAAAGTTACAGAGCCAGGAGATGATAGACTGACAAATGAGGAATAGCAGGAAGGTCCACCTGGCCGGCCCAGAGAAGGAGTGAAGGGGACCCGAGTCTGATGAGGCTGGGAGGGTGAGCTGTCCCTCCTTTGTGACAATGGGGGGCACCCTCAGCAAGCAGCTACAGTTTCTCCACTGTAATCGCTCACTCAGTAGTCATAAGGAGAGGGTCTTTGGAGAAGTTCATCTGTTACATGTTCCCAGAAATCATTTAAGAGCTTAATATGTGCCCACGAAGTGCCTGGAAACCTGGAAGTTGCAGTTTCAGACGCTTTAGAAAGAATCATCAAATGCTAGGAGCGAGAAGAGGATTGGGGTTCTCCCACCCCTTTGTATAAACTGTTGATCATAAAGATGTGATCACTGGGGAATAAGAGTTGTGAAGTCTTACAGTAACCCTCCTCATCCTGATACCACAGCAATGATGCCCTGACAACATCTGGGAAAATGTCAATCCTCAGCAAGGCGGATGGTCCATCCAAAGATGCAGATCACATCCCCCGTGACTCTTGTCCACGGCCTCCCACGAGGTACTGATGGCAAAGCCACCCAATGTCAGAGGATTATTTTCAGACATTCTTTAGAGAAGCCACGCGGCATGATTCCTAGAACATTTGAAAAACCAGAAACAACAAACTCCCAGTCATCTGATGAAATCTCTGGTAACACTGTAACTTCAGTAAAACTAAGGAAGCCTTCCAGCCCTTTAGCTGGACCATTTGCCTTCCAGAACATTAGCACAATCACTTCAGGTTTCTTTGTAACTATTTACAATGAAATTACCACAAAGCTTCTTCCCCACTTTGCAGGGTTTCCCTCCAAGTCCCCAGATGATGTGGGGTCCCTCTCCCCCTGCCTCCACTAACTGGTGTCATCCCCTTCTTTATGAAGGTCTTTCTGGATTTCTGGGCCACTCCCAAGGCCATTTGTTCAAGGATTTCCTCATCGGCAAGAACCACTCTGGGGTCCTTCTATCCATGGAGGACACTGGGGTTGTGTGGAGCGTGAATCTGCCACGAACCATGAACATCTCTGAACAGAGAACTCCGTCGGCATCCTTGTAAAGCCACAAGGATTTACCAGAGTCCATCCTCTGGATTTGTGGACTCATGTTTGCAAAACCAGGAGAAAGGGCTCTGCCTCCCTCATGGCCCAGATTCATTCATTCTTTCTGCTCCACAGAGGCTTGTTCCCACACTACAGGTATTCCCGCTCCCTTCTGGGTCCCTTTTATTGTTGTCTTCCCCCCATTAGGATATCAAATCAGCTGAACCCTAACCATAAATATGTTAAGAACCTATTACTACTACTATGTGTCAGACACAGTGATGAGCACTGGGGATGCAAAAAGAGGCAACAGACAGTTCCTGCCCTCAAGGAGTTCACAGTCTAATAAAGGACACCACCTGAAAACAAGATATAGATAGGATGAATTGGACGTGATTGATAGAAGAAAAGTACTAGCATTAAGAGGGACCAGGAAAGGCTTCCTACAGAAGTTGAGATTTAAGCTGGGACCTGAAAGGAAGCCAGGATGGGGAGAGGAGGAGGAAGACCTTTCCAGGCATGGGGGGAAGGGGTGGGGGGGGAAGAGGCATAGCCAGAGTAAATGCCCAGAGCGAGGAAATGGAGTGTTTTGTGCCGGAAACAGCAAGGAGGATCACAGAATTGGGGAGTAAGGTGTAAGAAGACTGCAAAGGTAATGGGAGGGAGGAGTTATAAAGGGCTTTGAATGCCAAACAGAGCATTTTATATTTGTTCCTGGAAGATCCCTATCTAGGGAACCACTAGGGGAGGGGGGAAGGGAAATGACATGGTCAAACCTGTGCTTTAGGAAGATCACTTTAGTGACTGAGTGGAGGACAAACTGGAGTAGGGAGAGACTTGAGGGAGGCAGACCCCCAGCAGCTACAGGGATCAGGTGACTGGCACCAATCTGCAGGTGTCAGAGGGAGAGAAGGGGTCATATTCCAGAGATGCTGCAGAGATGAAATCAACCAGAGATGTTGCAAAGGTGAAATTAACCAGAGATGCTAGAGAGGTGAAATGTATAAGAGATGCTGCAGAGGTGAAATTGACAGTTCTTGGCACCATATTGGATATGGGGTTGCAGATGGTGAGAGATAGTGAGGAATCTAGGATGACTTTTAGGTTGGGAGCTTAAGGGGCTGGGAAGATGATGGTACCCTCTACAGTAATAGGGAAAGTGGGGCAGGGGAGAGGGTTTAAGGGGAAATATGATGACCTCAGTTTTGTACATGTTGGTGTTTAAGATGTAAGCTCCTTGAAGGAGGGGTCTATCTTGCTTACTCATGGTTGTATTCCTTGTGTTAAGCAGTGTTGAATCAAAGCTCTATTATCTATATCTACCTGCCTACCTACTTATCCATGGTTATTTGCCCATCCCCCCACTGGCTCCCATGGTGTCTCTCACACTGAAGGGTGCTGGTCTCTATCCCCAGCTTTGAGAAAAGATGAAATGAATAAGCCCATCTAAGACTCTCTGCTCACTGGGCAACCTTTCCCACAACCCACAGTATAGTTCCTGCCACCACAGGCTTGCCATTATACCCTGTTCAGGGGCCTACCTTGGCTCAGGCTGTCAGACTCTGAGTGGAGGCCACCTAATAGAACTTGCTTGAGGCCCAGAGAAGTAGAGGGTGCAGCCCCACTGAGGAAGGAGGCTGGTCCGATGTGGTCCACTCCCATTTCCAGTGGTGCTCACACTGGACCCTTCTCAGAGGGTGAAAGAAAAGGGAGCCCAAGTCATGGCCCCCAGATCTCTTCCTGTATCTTCCCAGAGAGGCCCAGGAAGACCAGGCTGTGCCAACTCTGCCTATGGTAATCCCCCATTGACCAAGGGTTAATGGATGAATTTTTCCTTTTCCTTCATCTTGACAAGATTACGGAAAGTAAAGGAGTAAGTCATCTTTGGCATGACAAGTAGCCAGCGACCCAGAAAAGACTTTGAAAATGAGGGAAAGAATTGTCAACCTTTCAGTTTGAAAAACAGCATAAATCCCACCGGGATTGAAGTCTGAGCTCCTGGTTCACATCCCAGACTCTGTGACACTGCTGTACTTCTTAGTTTCCTCTGCTGTCAATGGAGAGGAACGCTTGGAGGTGCAGACCCCTTAAAGCTGGAACAGACCCGCTCTTGGCCAGAAGGTCCAGATGATGCCAGTGACCCCTAGTGGCCAAACCTTCCATGTGGTCTTGCCTAGGAGCAGAGACCAGAAAGACTAGGCCTCATGAGCTCCCTACTGTGTGCCATGCAGGCACTGAGGAGACCCTGCCCACAAAGAGCTGCCCATCTCCTGGGGCTACTAGCAACTCCTGCACAGAGAAGTATAGAAAGGGGTGGGGTGGGCTGGAGGTAAAGCAAGGATCCAGGCTGTGTTCTATGGCAATCTGACCAGAGAAGAATGCCACTGACTGGGGGGAAGGGTGGGGGGCTGCCCAGAGGAGGAAGCTCGGGCTACCAAGAGGCTGAGGTAACACGGGACAGCATTTCAGGCGTGGGACACAGCCTGGACAAAAGCAGAGGTGGAATTTGGCTAATGTATCCATAAAAGAGAGGGGTGAGGCGTGGGGCTGATTCCCCGGAACATGAACAGATCTGAGGTGTGCCTCCCTAATCACACGGGGCACTGGAGGTGGCCAAGGACAGGCTGAGCCAGATGCTGAAGGGTTTTCAATTCCAAAATTAGGTTTTTCTATCTTTTTAGATCCTAGAGGCAAGAGGGGCAGCTGGTGGCACAGCGTCTAAGTTCTCTCTCTCTCTCTGTGTATCTGTCTCTCTGCATCTCTGTCTTTCTGTCTCTCTCTCTGGCACCTACCTGGAGAAGGGTCTGGAGCGCGGGAGGGGAGGGGACGACAGAAGACGGGGAGAGGGAAAGAGAGGGGAGACAGAGGAGGGGCAGGGGGTTCAGGGCACAGGCCTTGGGGCACCTCTGGGCTTGGGGTCCAGCCGAGATCTGGAGGAAGAAGATCCTGCGAGAGACGAAAAGATCTGCCCCTTTAACTGTGCGCACCCTCCCGATGACCCCTCCCTCTTTGGCTCCGCTCCTCCCCGCCCAGCTGGGCGGGTGGTTCTGCGGCGGGGCTTACGTGGAGCCCACGTGGGGCGGGACTTCCTGGCCGGCACCCGCAACTTCCGGCTGTCTCCAGGCGACCTGTCAGGGAGCCACCCCCCACCCCGGCCGCTCAGGTGAGCTTCGCCCTGCGCAGTGACTGGCGGGGAAACTGAGGCGGCGCCAAGGCCCAGCGGCCTGAGGGGTAGGACGGGCTGTGGGCACCCTGCTCCCTCCCGCCGCCGCCTGCCTCAGTTTTCCTATCCGTAAAAGGAAGGGCTAGAGGGCCCGGGTTGGGGCAGAGGGGGCCGGAGACCCCCTTCCCCCACCCCAAGTGGGATCTCCAAGCGTCTAAGCCGACAAGGGGCGCCACAGTGGAGAGGAGACCCGAGTTCAAAGCCTGCCTTAATTTCCCCCTCTGTAAAGCAGGGGTAGCAGCAGCGTGTCCCTTCTGTGGCGTTTGTAACCCGCTTCCTGGTACACCGTAGGTGCCAAATAAATGCTCGTTACCTTCCTTCCCCTGGTCTGTCAGCCCTGGAAGGAGGCTGCCCGCGCTGGTCGGCCTGCAGGTGGCGGGGCGGAGGGGGCAGGGCTGGACCTTCGGCCGGTGCGGGAAACACGTGGTGGGGGGGTGCTCCCCAGTCTTCTCGGCCTGCCCGGTCCTTTTACGTGACCCCTGTCGAGGAAGCTAGATGACTCTGTGTATAGAGGGTGAGGCCTGGAGTAGGAGACACGTGAATTCTTGGATTCGAGGTGTGTGGCCCTAGCCGAGTCACTTCTCCCCACGGGCCTAATAGCAGCACCTGTCTTCCAGGGTCGTTGTGATGATACTCTATCTAATGAGATAAACTTCTCAGCACAGCGCCTGGTCTGTAGCCAGTGCCGCACAGACATTAGCTGTACGATGACTTCTCGTTGTGTCCCGTCACTCCATTTCCTGAAGCAGCCCTTGAGGTTGCTGTCCCTGACGCTGTAAACCCCCAGTGCTCTCTTTGACCTTCTTGGTTGTGACTGGTCCATCTGACGTCATGTCATCTTCAGTCCCCGCTCTCCCTTCCTCTGGCCCCTTCTCTCCTTCGGAGGCCCTGTGCCGCTGCCAGCTGGGGAGGGGGGGTGGGGGGGGTGAGGGCCCACGTGTGTCACAGAGGTCCACGGGGAGGCCCTGCTGCTGGGCGCCCCCACCTGCGGTTTGCTGAGTGGCCCAGAGTGGCCTGTGGCAGCTGGAGGAGCTGGGCTGGTCCAGGTGGAGCACAGCTTTCTGGCCCACTTGGCCCAGGGTGGGAAACCCGCCCTGTGCCTGACTCCAGACTCCAGACTCCACAGGACAAATCCCCTTAATCAAAGCGTTTCTTGTGTCAAACTTGAACTTGTCAAAAAGGCTGCACCCGAGGACCTGGAAGGCATGAGGCCTCAGTTCCCCACCCCTGCAGCCCAGCCCCCCACTATGCTTGTGTTGATTTACCTTATATTTCTGCTCACAACTTACCTACGTCCTAGGGAGGGGAGCAAGCATTTATGGAGCACCTGTAGTATGCCTGGTACTGTACTAAGTGATTTACTAATGGAATCTCATGTGATCCTCCAGCAATCCTGGGAGGTCTGTACTGTTATGATCCCCATTTTACTGATAAGGAAACTGAGGCAGATGGTGGTTAAGTGACGCGCCCAGGATCACACAACTAGGAAGTGTCTGAGGCTGCATTTGAACTCAGGTCTTGGTGACTCCAGGACAAGAGCATTCTGCACTGGGGCATCTGATTTTAGACTCCTAGCTCCCTGTGGGCAGGGAGTGCCTCAGTTCCTTGTACTTGTATGGTGGCTGGAGGGTGAGAAAGATGAGGACCTGGAAGAGGCTGAATGATGCAAAGGTTGACAAGAAGGTGCCAAGGGCAGTGGGTACAGGTGGTCAGAGGTGGCCACACCAGGTGGTGCCTCAGGCACTCAGAGGGCAGGCCCACCTGAGGGCCTCAGCTTCCCTCTTCTGGTTGAAGCCCCTGAGTAGTATGTGCTGAATTTCTCCACTGTCCTTTATCGGAGGCCCTTCCCTGGGGACAAAAAGTCAGGGACTTGCCCCCTTTGGTGGCTCTCTGGGGCCCCAGGAAGGACCTTTCCATGTTCTTTCCGTGTTCTCAGATTGATGCGCTCTGGCCATGCTCCTTATTGAGCATCATAGGGCAGGGGCTTTAGGGCCCTAGTCTCCATCACCTGGTCAGTTTTTTGAGAGGGGCAAGGGCAGAGGCCCCTTTGGGGCCTGGGGCTTCTTGGCCTGTTGGGTTTGGGGGGGGTAGGGTTGGGCAGATGGAGCCCCCTCAGGGCCTGGGCCTTTATAGTCTGTTGGCCTTTCAGGGGGTGAATCCGCTTGAGGGCCCCCGGGCTTCTTGGCAGCTGGGCTTTGCCTTGGGTGTTTGAAGGGCAGCTTAGCACTGCCTTCCCTGACCAGCTGCATGTCGTCTTTCTCAGGTGTATTGGATTTGTTCTATGAGAGAGCATTGGATTGGTGGGGCCAGCAGGTGAGCAGGGGGGTTACCAAAGGGGCTGGCCCCACTGCCCTGAAGGGCCCCCCTTTATGCCAAGGAGAGCTGAGCTGGGCCCAGGGCCTGGCCCCTAGGAACGGGTGCCTGAGAAATGCTTCTGGGTGAGCTGCCCCAGCCTCTGCCCCTTCTGGGCTGGGAGTGGATCCCACAGTGACTGGAGGAGGGATTGTCTGGATCTGTCTGGGACTGCCTCTGGCCACCATCCTTACCGCAGGACCTTGGCGTGCTGGTGGGACCCTCCAGCCTTGCTGGGCGTGTTGCTGGAGTCCTGGAAGTGCAGTGGGCTTGGCCTGAGCCTGACTCTTGTGTAGTTTTTCCGGGAGTCAGAGCTGGTGGCCTGATGGCTTGGGGCCTCTGTGCTTGGCTACCAGGCAGCCTGCTCAACCCCAGCTCCCATTTGCTCTCTTTCCTCTCTGACAAGATCTGGTCAGGCTGCTTTCTGAGCTCCCAAGGGAGGGTCTCCCTGGCCTGGCTCCTTGTTCCTGGCTGTCAGCAGCTCTCAGGTTCTGGAGCCCACCCCGAGCCCTGGCTGATGGACAGAGGCTTGGGACCTCCTCCTGCCACTCTTGTTGGGCTGGGCTGGCTTAGGGTGGACCAAAGCACTTCATAAAATAGAGAGTGCCCAGCAGGGTGCCCCAAAGCCTGAGTGTACTCTTATCCTCCTCCTTGTCTAGCAGAACTCCTTGGCCTGGTCCTGCCCGGCCACATCCTTTGGTGCAGCCCCCACCATGAGAAGCCTCCTGCCTCTGATCTGCATCATCCTGGCCTGCAAGTTGGGGGGTGCGACTTTGGCCAAGTCAGACCCCAAAAAAGCAACCTCCAAAACTTTCCAGGAAAAGGTAGGACAAGGTGCGGAACCCCAGGGGGCAGGAGGCTGAGCCGCTTGGCCAGGGACCCTGCCCCCTGGGGGCTCGCATCCCTCGCACCTTGGCCCCATTCTGCTTCTGGCCAGTCAGCTGAAGTCATGGCTCAGACAGAGGCCTGGCGGGGCACCCTGGGAGGGGAAGGGGAGAGGAGGAGGGAGTCAGTCGTGCGAACATTCTCAGTAGCAGCCGTCGCCCAGGCCCACTGGGGACAACCTACCTCTTTTCAGCTGTGTCCTTTCTTGGCCAACCTGTGGCTTGCTTTATTCTTTCTGCTTTTGTCACTGGCCTTTTTATTTTAGTGCTTTTTTTGTTTTGCTGAGGCAGTTGGGGTTAGGTGACTTGCCCAGGGTCACATAGCTAGTAAGTGTCAAGTGTCTCAGGCCAGATTTGAACTCGGGTCCTCCTGACTCCAGGGCCAGAGCTCTATCCACAGCCGAGGCAGGGGCAGGGTGAACGGAGGAAGGGGAAGCCCTCCTTCCTGCGGCCCCACGGCCTTTGTCTTATCTGCAGGGAGTTCCTGGGCCAGGTGCGCCCTCCTATATAAGGGTCACTGTCCCTGACTCCCCAGATGGGCCCGCAGGGGAGGGAGGAGCCGAGCAAGCGCTGACCGGGCCTCTTCTCCATTTTGTTTTCTGACTTCTCCTGGGCCAGACCCAGCCCTCCACACTGACTGTCCAGGAGCGGGGCCTGGTGGTTTCGGACCTCAAAGCTCAGGATGTGGTGTTAGAGCACGGCAGCTACTGTGCCCAGAAAACCAGGCACAGACACTTCCCTGGACACGTCCTGGGCTACGTCACACCAGTAAGTGCATAGAGGTACCTCCCGGGGTGTCCAGGGGAGGAACGGGGCTGGATGGTGGGGGCTGTGTGTGGGGGCGTGTGTCTACATGTGTCTGTACATGTGTGTGCATGCGGGGGGGTGTACATGTGTATACATACTGTGTGTGCACGTGTGTGTCTGTGGGTACCTGTGTGTATGCCTGTATGTGTATGTACGTGTGTGCATGCGGGGGGAGGGGTACATGTGTATACATATGGTGTGCGCGCGTGTGTGTCTGGGTGCCTGTATGTGTGTGTGTACATGTGTGTGCATGTAGTGGATACATGTGTATATAAACGGTGTGTGTGTATCTGTGGGTACCTGTATGTGCATGTACATATGTGTGCATGTAGTGGATACATGTGTATATAAACTGTGTGTGCATGTGCGTATCTGCGGGTACCTGTATGTGCATGTACATGGGGGAATACATGTGTATACAGACTGTGTATGTGCATGTGTGTCTGTGGGTACCTGTGTGTATGCCTATGTGTGTATGTACATGTGTGTGCATGGGGGTACGTGTGTATACATACTGTGTGTGTCTGGGTGCCTGTATGTGTGTGCCTGTCTATGTATGTACGTCTGTGTGCATGTGGGGGATACATGTATACATAGACTGTGTACACATGTGTGTGTCTGTGGGTGCCTCTATATGTGTGCATGGGGGGGATACATGTTTATATAGACTGTGTGTGCGTGTGTGTATCTGGGTACCTGTACGTGTATGTGCATGTGTTTGTATGTGGAGGAATACATGTGTATACAGACTGTGTGTGCGCGCATGCGTGTGTGTACCTGTGTGTATGCATGTATGTGTATGTACATGTATATGCATACTGTGTGTGTGCATGTTTGTGTCTGTGGGTGCTTGTATGTATGTGTGTGCGCCTGTGTGTGTATGTACATGTGTGCGTATGGGGAAGAATACATGTGTATACAGACTGTGTGTGCGTGTGTGTGTCTGTATGTGTATGTACATGTGTGTGCATGCAGGGGGTACATGTGTATACATACTGTGTGTGTGCGTGTATGTGTCTGGGTGCCTGTGTGGGTGTGCCTGTATATGTATGTATGTGTGTGTGCATGTGGGGGGATACATGTGTATATAGACTGTGCGCGCACATGTGTGTCTGTGGGTGCTTGTATATGTGTGCATGTGCCTGTATGTGTGTGTATGTGTGGGGGGATGCATGTGTATATAGACTCTGTGTGTGCGTGTATATTTGTGGGTGCCTGTATGTGTGTGCGTGTGGGGGTGGCATGTGTGTGCATGCTATGTGTGCACAGGTGTGGGGCGCGTGTGTTTGCATACTGGGTGTGCATGGGGTAGCATGTGCATGTGCCTGTATGTGTATGTACATGTGAATGCATGTGGGGCATAGATGTGTATATAGACTGTGGGGGGTGCTCATACTGTGTGTATGTGTATATACACATGTGCGCAGGTATGGGATGCACTGTATGCATACTGTGTGTCTTTGCAAGGTTTGGCGGGCGTGTGTGTATACACTGTGTGTCTGGGTTTATATGCGTCTATGCCCGTGTGTGTGGCTGTGGGTGTGCATGTGCACACGTTCATTGTGCCACGGGGTGGTTTGTTTTCCATGCGCGTGTGCGCGCCCCGCCTCCCCTCTGTAAACTCTTGTGGTTCCCTCTTCCCTTCACAAGTTCTCAGGTGTGGTAAGCCCTTCCTGGCCCTTCTCCCATCACCTCTGCAGTCCCTCCCCAGGGATCTCACTGATCACATGTGACTCATCTCCCACCTCCAAGCCTTTGCAGGGACTGTGTTCCCAGCTCCCTCCTGCCTCCCACGGAAGGCCTTCCCTTGACTCTGTGTGAACCGTGCATGCATATTGCTCATCTCCTGCTGTCTTCCCTTGAGGGCAGGAACTGGCTGTGGCCTTGTCTCTATCCCAGGCCCTCGGTGTGCAGCAGGGACTTAATCAGTGCTGTGGACCGACTAACTGATGTCTCCATTTCTTCACCTCCATCTGCCCAAAATTCAGGACATGAGTAGAATTCTTTTTTCAAACTTAAATTAAATTCCATTTTTCCCCATTAACAGCCCCCTCCCAATTAAAAAACAAAAGCCCCTGTAACAAACATGCCCAGCACCGCCCAGATGTGCCTGTGTCCTTCTGAGGCCAGGTGGCTGCCATCGCCACAGCCCCCGAGTCTGCCCGCCTCCCTTGGCATCAGCCATCCCCAAGGACCTTTGCAAAGGGGATCCAGCAGCCATTCCTGGGCACGCCCCGCCATGCACAGAGGCCACCTGCGATGGCCAGTACTGCACGTGCACACACATACACACACCCATACACGTACACACAGAGACTCACATGCACGCATGTATGCACATACATACTCACATGTGCACACTGCCCACATGCACGTACACACACACACAGACTCAATGCACGCACGTAGGCACATACAGTGTACATATGCACACAGCACACGTGTGTGCTGTGTGCACGCACACATGCACACACAGACGCACATGCATATGCACGTGTGCGCGTATACACACGCACATACACACTGCACATATACACATGTATACATACAGACTCACATGCACATGTGTATGCATATGCATATGCACACTGCACATATGCGCGCGCACACACGATGGTCCTCACCCTCAGGAAGCTCACAGTTTACAGTCAGTGCAGGAATAGACAGAGGACTTTTGGGTTCAGGGGACAGCCCAGCAGCCCGTGAGGGGTCGGGGAAGGCTTCCTGCCAGAGAGGAGCCCTGAGGGTGGAGGTAAGAAGGGAGGGCTGAAGCTCATTGAAAAGCACCCAGGCAGGACACAGCGGGAAGGGCATAAGCATTTATTAGGCGACTGCTGTGTGCCAGGCACTGCGCTACGTGCTTTCCATCTTTATCTCACTTGATCCTTGGCCACTCTGGGAAGGAGGTGCTGTTATTATTACCAGAGGGTGGTTAAGTGACTTGCCTGGGGTCACACAACCAGTAAGTGTTTAAGGCCTTCCAGGCCCAGCACTCTGTGCAGTGAGGCACCCCCCAGCTGCCCAGGAGGCACTGTTGGTGGGAAGAACACTAAGTAACGAGCCTGGGGAGGTCGGCTGGAGCCCAATGGAGCAGACTCTATAGGACAGGAGAGAGGAGGAAGTAGGGAGCCACAGAAAGCTACTGACCAGGGGAAAGCCATGTTTGCAGACTTGTGGCTTAGGCTGGTATTAAGAATGGCTGGGAGAGAGAAATGGGAGGTCCAGGGCAGCAACCAGGGGAGCAGAGGGAAAGGGCCAGCTTGACAAGCGGCTCTAGACTCAGGGTTGGGAAGACCCAAGTTAAAATCCAGCCTCAAATGGGACCATCCTAGCCACGTGACCATAAGCAAGTCCTTTTCCCTTTCTGGGCCTCAGTTTCAGACTGTCAAATGAGAAGGTGCCCTGGATGACCATCAGGGTCTTTTCTGTCTCAAAGTCTGTGATTCTCCAAACCCCTAAGGTGCAGGAGGTATTGGGGAGCTGTGTGGCCCCAGTCCCAGGCTTCCCAGAGTGAGTCCACACCTCAGCCGCTGTGTCTTTGGGGGCAGGAGACAGGGAAGGAGCAGGGATTGTGCCTTCATTCATTTCCCAGGTATATTCAGCACATTCCTTCACATTGGACCCTGTGCTGGGTAGCAGGGATGTTGTCCCTACCCTCAGGGCTCTGTGTGTGTGTGTGTGAGTGAGACAGGTATGGAGAAAAGGCAGAGAGACTGGGGCGGGGGTCTGTTGGGAGAGAGAGACAAGGCTAGCCCACAAAAGCTATAGCACAAAGTTACAGTGACCAGAAGGGCCCAAGACCCCACAAGGGAGTGGTCCCTTTCACCTGGGGAGGTGTGTCTCCCAGACTGGGAAGGATTTCCGATGTCAGAGAGGAAACTACCCTGGGCCTGGTAGAAAAGCTGGCCTGGGAGGGAGCCAGGAGCTGGAGAGGTGCCTGCTGTGGGTGCTTGGGAGAACTCCGGATGGCAAGGCAAGTCTGGTCTGAGGAACAGACAGTGGGTCAGGGCAGCTCCTCCCTGGGGCCCTCTGCTGGAACCCTGCTGAGTCAGGAGCTGGGGCCCTGGGAGACCCATCGACTCAGCCCTGGCAGCCCTGGCATGGACTGAGGAGCTGGACAGCGGTGGGGTTGAGGGGGGTGGATTCTTGCCCTCCCTGGCTCAGAGTTCAAAGGCCCAAGTTCAGATACCTCTCCCCACAGGTTAATCCCTCATGACCTTGGCCGAGTCCCTTTTCCTCCTTTCTCCTTCAAGGAGGTTGGCTTCATTCTCCTTTGGCACTCAGAGCAGCCCTTACCTGGAGCTCCATCCCCAGAGGGCAGTGCAGCCAGCCTCTGGTCACTTCCTGGTACCCTCGGCCCCAGCCCCAGCTCTGACTGCCATGGGGACCCTCACTGATCCGCTTTCTGCTCTGTCCCTCCCCTTCTTCTCTGGCAAGTGGAACAGCCATGGCTACGATATCGCCAAGACTTTTGGGAACAAGTTCACGCTGATCTCCCCAGTGTGGCTGCAGGTGAAGAGGCGGGGTCTAGAACTCTACCAGATCTTGGGCCTTCATGACGCTGACCAAGGTACCCCCCACCTTTTGTCCATTTGTCTGCTGGGTGCGGGTGGCCTGGGAGGGAGGGCCGGGAGTGGGGGCAGGGGCCCTCTGCTCCGGTCTAGTGCCTGGGCAGTGCTCGGGCAACTCTGGTAATAGGACTGAGGGCTGGGGTGAGGGAGGAGGAAGAGGAGGAGGAGGAAGAGGACGCTGGTGTGTAGGGGAGGAGGCTGTCTGGCCCCTTGCTTTCAGAGGGCCCTCTGAGTGTGTGTATGTGTGTGCTCACGCGTGTGTGGTGTATGTATGTGTGACCGCACATGTGTGTGGCATGTGATGTGCATTGTGTACTAGTGTGTGATGTATGTGTGTCTGTACATGAGTGCACATGTGTGTGATGTTTGTCAGTGTACATGTGTGGGCATGCATGCAGTGTATGTGGTATGCATATGTCTGCAAGCGTGTGATGTATATGTGTACAAGTGCACATGTGTATGTGATGTCTGTGTATCAGTGTACATGTGTGGGGCGTGCAAGTGTGTGATGTATGTGTGTTTGAACATGAGTGTACACGTGTCTGATGTACGTGTGTCAGTGCATATGTGTGGGCTACGCAGGTGTGATGTGTGTCTTTACATGTGTGTCGGTGCACATGTGTGGGCCGTGCAAGTGTGGTGTGCATGTGTATGAGTATGAGGTATGTGTGTCTGTATGTGAGTGTACATGTGTGTCTGATTATGTTGTGTCCGTGCATATGTGTGGGACATCCAAGTGTGTGATGTGCGTGTGTGTGCGAGTGTGGTGTATACGTGTCTGTATGTGAGTATACATGTGTGCCTTATATGTGTGTGTCGGTGCACATGTGTGGGGCGTGCAAGTGTGTGAGGTATGTGTACAAGTGTGTGTATGTGATGTGCATATGTGTGCGAGTGTGTGATGTATGTGTGTGTCAGTACACATGTGTGGGGTGTGCAAGTGTGTCTGTGTGGTGGGGAGATGTCTCCACGTTTCTCAGTGGGAGGGACGCATTCCTTGGCACCACCCTTTCAGGTGCTATTTGAGGCCTGTTTGGCTCAGGTTTGGGGACAAATCTCCAGGACGATCCTGCAGTGAAAGAGGGGACCTCAGTGAGAGTTCAGGACCCTGGTGGGGCTTAAGGAGCAAGATCCCCATCCCTGCCTCCTCTGCGACAGGGCCACTCTGCCAGGCTGTCCAGGGAGGTGAGCCTGAGGGGCCTCCTGGGTTGGGGCTGGAGGCCAGGGCAGCCTAGCTCTTCTGAGCCGCTTGACTTTTGGGCAGACTGCTAGGGGCGTCGATGTTCTGGATGCTGTGCTGGGATTGGTCGGCTCAATCGTGGGCCAGGCTCGTCTGTGAAATGAGTGGTTTGCTGGCCAGCATTGCCGAAGCACTTGGGCTGGCCTCCCCCTCTGGAGCTGCCTCCAGGCTGCCACATAACTGATATCACTGTCCTGGGGGCATGGGGCTGACATGTCCGAGAGGGTTTGTGGGTTCATGTTTCTGTTTCTTCTTTTGGTCTTCTAACAGACTGGATGAAAAGCGTTAAGAAGCAAGCGAAAAATGTGCGCATTGGTGAGTGAGGTCTGTGGAAGGGGAGCGGGCTGAGGGTGGGAGTGCCTGGCTGAGGGGAAGCCGGGGCTCCCCAAGTGGAGGGAGTGTGCCCAGCCAGTCTGGAGATCAGCAGATCAGCACCATGGAGAGCATCAGCCCTTTTGTGGCCTTAGGGCAGGGGTGGCTGACAGGCCCTGGTTTCCCAGCCTCCTCAGGGCCAGCTTCTTTTCTGAAGGAGAGGGAAGCCAGAAGGGTGAGAGAGAGACACACACACACACACACACACACACACACACACAGAAGAACAGAGAGAGAGAGAGAGAATGTGAGCGCACATGCACATCCACTCGCCTCCGTGTATTTCTGTTGCCAGCTTTCTTTTTGGGAGGATTGGCTGGGCTGGCCAGGGTGTCTAGTGGGCATGCTACTGCAGACAGGGCCTCTCCTATCTCCTCCTTTCCTCCTTCTTCCTTTTCCCCCCACCCCCTCCGCCTTCTTCCCTTAACACCTTCCCTCTTACTCCCTCTTCTTCCTCCCCCATCTTCTTCCCTCCTCCCCTTCTGCTCCCTCTTCATTCTCTTTCCTTCCTTCTCTTCTCCCCCACCAGAGACCTCTAAAGCCAGCCCCATGTAAGGTAGGGCCACTGAGTCCCTGTGTGGGCTCCCTCCGGCTGTTCACCTTTCTCACTGGCATATCCTTTTCAGTGCCTCGGATCCTGTTTGACAAATGGACTCGGGATGACTACAGAAGCTTGTTTAGCAGTGAAGATGAGATAGAAGAGCTTGCTAAGACCTTGGTCCAGGTGGCACAGGTAGGTCTTGGTGCTGCCAGAGGCCAGTCAGTGGCATCAGGCTGGCCCTGACTCTGTCCTGCTGGGAGCTGGATGTGGCTGGTTGACCAGAGGCTCCTCCTGCCTCGTGAATTGATTCTCTTGCTGGGCAGCATCCTCTGTTCGCTTCTTTAGGATAGCATAGAAGGGAATGCCTTCTGTTGGATTTTTAGTGCAAGTCCCAAGAAACCCCTTTTCCTATCAAGCAGCATTTCCTTGGTGACTTTCCCAGGTTCTGGGGACACTTGAACACAAGGTCTGAGAGCGTGGTGCGCTAGAATAGGGCTCGCTAGCAGCTGCTGGTCAGGAATCCCCTCTGGGAACTCAGGATGGGCAACCAGCCAGTACAAGGAGAGGAATTCACGTAGGTGCCCCAGAGGCCACCCTCTGGACCTCAGGGTCCAACCCTCCCCAAATCTAGCTCATTTGACAAACTTGAGGATCAGATGTGAAACTGAGGAAACCCCGTCCGGTTTTGATGCCAACCAAAATGTCCCAACCCCTCCAGCCTCAGGAGTCTCCAGGCGGCCAGCTCTTTGCCAGCTGTGTATTGAGTGGAGTCACTTCTTGGGTAAGAACCCCACAGGTGCCCCAAACCTCTAAGGCCCACCTTCCATCACAGTCCTGCTGCTGACCTCTAATATGCCTGATTCCCAAGGAAGGTGGAGCCAAGATGGTCCCCTCCACATGACTTCAAAGTAATGCCTCACATTGAATTCTGGAGAGGCAGAATCAACACAAGCTCAGGGTGAAACGCTTTTCCAGCCCAGGACAACTTAGGAGGTCGGCAGGGAAGATCTGTCTCGGTGGGGTGAGGATCAGACTGCACAGCGCAGCCCATTGTGGGCACCAGCAGTGACTCTTGGAGGCAGTTCAGCACTGGCAGTGGCGGCTCTCAACCCACAGAGACTATGGCGGTCAGACTGCTGGTCAGAAGGAGATTACAGGGAACCTTTTGCTGGCACTACGTGCAGGGCCCTGTTGCTTTGCCCATATATAATTCTGGGTCACCATCCCAGAGCTAAGAGGAGCAGTAGCTCTCTAGCTCTTACAGCCACAGGGGTAAAGGAGCCCTGGTTACGGTTCCAGGGTAGAGAAGAGTGTACGTGGTGGCTCACAGACCAGACCACAAGCCAGGGGAGCAGTGATCACACCTCTCTTTACATTATACCACCTTGGAAGAACTGAAAACCTACAGGACCCCCCCCCAGAGCTAGCAGCAAGAAAGGCCTGAAGCTTGAGACAGTGCCCCCACCACCCTGGAAGCAAAGACCAACTTCTTAACAAAGTTATAGGTCAAGGAATAGGTTGGGGAAATTAGCACACAATAAAAAAGAAATTGACCATAGAAAGTTACTATGGTGACAGGGAAGATCAAGACAGAAACTCAGAAGAAGACAAATCAAAATTGCATATAAAGCTTCAGAGAAAAATGTGAATTGGTCATAGGCCCAAAAATAATTCCTAGAAGAACTCAAAAAAGGATTTCAAAATTAAATGAGAGAGGAAGAGGGGAAGTTGAGGAAAGAAATGAAAATTTTGCAAGAAAATTATGAAAAGAAAGTCAACAGAAGGCACAAAAAAAAGAATTGTTGAATTACCTGAAAGCTGTGTTAAAAAAAAAAAAGCCAGGATCGTATGTTAAGAAATGATCAGGGAACACTGCCCTGATAGCCTAGAACCAGAAATAGAAATGGAAAGAATCCACTGATCATCCTGAAAAAGACCCCCACATGAAAACCCCCAGGAATATTACAGCCAAATTCCAGAGCTCCCAGGTCAAGGAGAAAATACTGCAAGCAGCCAGAAAGAAACAATTCAAATATCATGGAGCCACAGTCAGGATAACATAAGATTTAGCTGCTTCTACATTAGAGGACTGAAGGCCTTAGAGAGTGACATTCCAAAGGGCAAAGGAACTAGGATTACAATCAAGAATAACATACCCAGCAAAACTGAATTTAATCCTTCAGGGGAAAAAGTGAATATTTGATGAAATAGAAGACTTTGAAGCATTCCTGATGAAAAGACCAGAAAAGAAGATTTGACTTTCAAATATAAAACTTGAAGAGAAGCATGAAAAGGTAAACGGGAAAGAGAAATCAAGGGATTCAATAGGGTTAAACTGTGTCCATTCCTACATAGGAAGATGACACTTGTAACTCTTAAGAACTTTGTCATTATTAGGACAGTTAGAAGGAGTATAAGTAGACAGAGTGCACAGGTGTGAGTTGACTATGATATGATTTCAGAAAATAAAATTAGGGGGTGAGAAAAAGGGATACACTGGAAGAAGAGGGAAGAGAGAGGTAGAATGGGGTAAATTATCTCACATAAAAGAGGCATGAAAGGAAGAGTTTTTACAGTGGAGGGGAAGATGGGGTGGTGGTGGTAGGTAATGCTTGCATCTCACTCTCATTGGAACTAGCTCGAAGAGGGAATACCATACACACTCAACTGAGCATAGAACTCTGTCTTCCTTTTCAGGGAAGTAGGAGAGAGGGATAAAAGAAGAGGGGGATGATAGAAGGGAGGGCATATTGGAGGAGATAGTGGTCAGAAGCAAAACAGACTTTTGAAGAAGGACAGGGTAAAAGCAGAGAGAGAGAGAAAGTGAAAGATAAACAGGGAAAAATAGGATAGAGGGAAATGCATAGTAATCATAACTGTGAATGTAAATGGGATGAACTCACCCGTAGAACAGAAGCAGATAGGGAGGATTAAAAAACAAAATCTGACAATATGCTGTTTACAAGAAGCACACTTGAAGCAAAGAGACAAAATAAAAGCTAGGGGCTGGAGCAGAATGTATTATTTATTAGCTAAAGCAAAAAAAAAAATAGGCATAATAATCATGATCTGAGACAAAGCAAAAGCAAAAATAGACCTGATTGAAAGAGATAAGTAAGGAAATGACATTTTGCTAAATGGTACTGTAGATAATTAAATGGTATCAACACTAAACATATATGCACCAAATGCTATGTATGGCATCCAAATTCTTTGTTTAATGTATTTTTTTAGCTGGTTTTTTTTTTGGTGAGGCGATTGGGGTTAAGTGACTTGTCCAGGGTCACACAGCTAGTAAGTGTTAAGTGTCTGAGGCTGGATTTAAACTCAGGTCCTCCTGACTCCAAGGCCAGAGTTCTATTCACTGCACCATTTAGCTGCCCCAGCATCCAAATTCTTAAAGGAATAATTAGATGAGTTACAGGAGGAAATAGACCATAAAGCTATACTAGTGGGGGACCTCAACTTTCTCCCCCTAGAACTAGATAAATCTAACCAAAAAATAAAGAAGGAAGTTAAGGAGATGAATAGAATTTTTTAAAAAAAGGTATAATAGACCTTTGGAGATAATTGAATGGAAATAGAAAGAAATATGCCTTTTTCTCAGTGGTGCATAGCACCTATGTAAAAATTGGCCGTGTATAGGGCATAAAAATCTCACAATCAAATGTAGGAAAGCAGAAGTAGTAAATGCATCCTTTTCATAACGAATCATAATGCAATAAAAATTACATTCAATAAAGGGCCATGGAAACAGATTAACAATTAATTGGAAACTAATCTAATACTAAAGAATGAGTGGATCAAAGAACAAATCACAGAAGCAATCAGTAATTTCATTAAAGAGAATGACAGCAATGAAGCAATATACCAAAATATATGGAATGTAGTCAAAGCAGGATGCAGAGGAAAATTTCTATCTATAAATACTTACATCAATAAAATAGAGAAAGAGCAGATCAGTGAATTGGGCATACAACAACAAAAGAAAAAAACTATAAAAAAATTTAAAATCCCCCATTAAACATCAAATTAGAAATCCTGAAAATCAAAAGAGAGATGAATAAGATTGAAATTAACCCATTGAACTAATAAATAAAACTAAGATCTGGTTTTATGGGGGGGGGGATTAGAAACCTAACAGTAAAATAGATAAACCATTGGTTAATGTTATTTTTTAAAAAAGAAGAAAATCAAATTGCCTGTATCAAAAATAAAAAGGGTAAACCCACCACTAATGAGGGAAAAATTAAAGCAATTATTAGGAATTATCTTGTGCAATTATATGCCAATAAGACAATCTAAGTGAAATGAATGAATACTTAAAAAATATAAATTGCCCAGATTAACAGAAGAGGAAGTAGAATACTTAAATAACCCTATCTTAGAAAAAGAAATCAGTCAAGCTGTCAGTGAGCTCCCAAAGCAAAAATCCCCAGGACGAGATGGATTCACAAGTGAATTCTACCAAACATTTAAAGAACAATTAATTCCAATACTTTATAAACTATTTAGAAAAATAGGCAAAGAAATCCTACCAAATTCCTTTTACACCACAAATATGGTCCTAATACCTAAACCAGGAAGAGCAAAAACAGAGAAGGAAAACTATAGACTGATAACCTTAACAAATGTTGATGCAAAACTTTTAAATAAATGCTAGCAAGGAGATTATAGCAATATATCGCAAAAATCATGCACAGTGACTGGATGGTGCAGGGCTGGTTCAGTGTTAGGAAAACTATCGGCATATTTGACCATATCAATAACAAAAGGAACAAAAATCGTATGTTTATCTGAATAGGTGGGGGAAAAGCTTTTGACAAAATATAACACTCATTCCTATTAAAAACACTGGAAAGCATAGGAATAAATGGAGCTTTCCTTAAGATGATAAATACCATCTTTTTCAAAAAATGGACCATGCTCTCGTGCTTTCCCAGCGACCAGTGGAGTCAAGCAGGCGTGTGTGCTTGTTCCCATGTTTTTTAGCATGGTGTTTTCAGCAATGTTGTTAGGCACCTTCAACCAGGATGAAAACAGTGTCGAGGTTCACTGCCACACTGAGTGTAAATTATTTAACTTGGAAAGGCTACAAGCCAAAACTAAAGTGGAAGGAGAGTTGGTGTATGATTTTCTGTTTGCAGATGATTGTGCACTCAGCCTCTGAGGCTGAGATGAAGCACAGTATGGATCGATTCTCTGCTGCTTGTGCTAATTTTGGCCTGACAATTATTGACACCAAGAAAACACAGGTTCTCCATCAGCCAGCACCACACCATCCATACATGGAACCATCTGTTACAGCGAATGGAGAAATGTTGAATGCTGTGGATAAGTTCACTTACCTTGGCAGTAGACTTTCTAGAGATGTCCACATAGATAATGAGGTTGAGAAATACATTACCAGAGTTAGTTCAGTGTTTAGGATGCTCTGAAGGAGAGTGTGGGAGAGAAGAGGTAATAGGCTGCCCATCAGACTGAAAGTCTACATTGTGCTGACCTCGTTGTTGTATGCCTGTGTATTCTGGACATCTACCAGCGCCATGCCAGGAAACGGAATCACCTCCATTTGGATTGTCTTAGGAAGATTCTGAAGATCACCTGGCAGGATGAGATACCAGACACTGAGGTCCTTTCTGCCAGGCATTTAAACTCTGCTGCACAGAGTGAAGCTCCAATGGGCTGGCTACGCTGTTCAAATGCCAACATACATTTGCCTAAAAGACTATTTTATGGAAAACTCATGTAAGTCAGGGGCTCACCTGGAAGTCAGAAGAAGCGATACAAGGACTCTCTCAAGGTCTCTCTGAAGAACTTTGGAAATTGATTATATGACATGGGAGATACTGGCACAGGACTACCCAGCATGGCATGCCCTTATCGGAGAAGGTGCTGTGCCCTATGAGGGAAGCAGAATTGCAGTAGCTCAAAGGAAATGTGAGATGCACAGATTTAGAGCCATCTCCACCCCAAATGTTCACGTGGACTATTTGTGCCTGACCTGGGATAGAGTCTTCTGAGCTCATATTGGTCTGATCAGCCACAGTTAGACACATTAGACCTTGACCCCGACATAGTGATGTCATTTTGGTGACATCTTCAAGGATGAAGGCCAACAACTAGGAGGTGTCTAAAACTATCAGCAAGCATTATCTGGAATAGGGATAAGCCAGCGGCCTTCCCAGTAAGATTAGGATTCCTATCATCCCCAGTACCATTCACTAGTATTGTGCTAGAATTAGCTCTAGCAATAAGAAAAGAAAAAGAAACTGAAGGAATTAGACTAGGCAATGAGGAAACAAAACTATTATTACTCTTTGCAGATGATATGATGGTACACTTAGAGAATCCTGGAGAATCCACTGAAAAGTAGTTGAAATAACAATTTCAGCAAAGCTGAAGGATTTAAGATAAACCCATATAAATCAGCATTTCTATATATGACCAACAAAGTCCATCAACAAGAGATAGAAAGAGAAATTTATTGGCAATAACTGTAGACAGCTAGGTGGCACAAGTGCATAGCATACTGGACCTGGAGTCAGAAAGATTCCTCTTCTTGAGTTCAGTTCCAACCACAGACACTTAGCTGTGTGACCCTAGGCAAGTCACTTCACCCTGTTTGCCCCAGTTTCTTCATCTGTAAAATGATCTGGAGAAGGAAAAGGCAAACCACTCTAGTATCTCTGCCAAGAAAACCCCACGTAAGGTCACAGAGAGTCAGACAGGACTGAAAAACAATTGAACAGCCACAAAAGACAGTATAAGATGTTTGGGAGTCTGCCTGCCAAGATGAACCAGGAACTCGATGAACACTTCACACATATAGTCAGGTCTAAATAATGGGGGAAATTTAAATTGCCAGTAGGCAAGCTAAACCAATTTAATAAAATGATGGTTCTACCTGAATTAATTTACTTATTCAGCATTGTAACAGTCAAATGGCCAAAAAAAATTAGCATAGAGCTAGAAAAAATAACAATTCATCTGGAAGAATGAAAGGTCAAGAAATCAAAAGAAGCAATGAAAAAAAAATGTGAAGGAAGGCGACCTAGCTGTACCAGGTCTCAAACCGTGTTATAAAGCGGCAGTCATCAGAACAGTCTGGTACTGACTCAGAAATAAAGAAGTGGAGTGGATCAGTGGGAAAGAGTGGAGACGCAGTGCCCAGGAGGAAATGACCACAGTAGTCTGGTGTTCGATGAATGTACAGACCTCAGCTGTGGGGGCAGTAACCCACCACTTGTCAAAAACTGCCGGGAAAACTAGAAAGTGGTTTGGCAGAAACTAGATCCAGACCAATATTTTACCCCATATGCCAAGAGAAGTCCAAAATGGGTACGCAATTTAGACATAAAGGGTAATGTCATAAGCAAATTATGGGAGTGTGGAATATCTTACCTGCCAGATCAATGGATAAGGGAAGAATTTATGACAAAACAAGAGATAGAGAGTGTTATGGGAAAAAAATAGATAATTAAAAAGGTTTTTGCACAAACTAAATCATTACAACCATGATTAGAAGGAAAGCAGAAAACTGGGGAAAATTTTTTACAGAAAGTTTCTCCAATTAAGACCTCATTTCTCAAATCTCTAAGAATAGAAGTCATAGGGGCAGCTAGGTGGCACAGTGGACTGACCCTGGAGTCAGGAGGAGGTGAGAGTTCAAATCTGGCCTCAGACACTTACTAGCTATGTGATCCTGGGCAAGTCACTTAACCCTGATTGCCTCCAAAAAAAACTAAAAAGAAGAATATGACTTATTCCCCAATTGATAAATGGTCAAAGGATATGAAACAGGCAGTTTTAGATGGAGAAATCAAAGCCGTCTGTAGTCATATGAAAAAATGCTCTAAATCACTATTGATTAGAGAAATGCAAATCAAAACGACTCTGAGGTACCATATCACACCTATCAGATTGGCTAATGACAGAAAAGGAAAATGACAAATGTTGTAGGGGAGGTGGAGAAATTGGGCCACCAGTGCACTGCTGGTGGAGTTGTGAACTGATCCGATCATTCTGGAGAGCAAGTTGAAACTAGGCCCAAAGGACTATAAAACCATGTATACCTTTGATCTTGCAATACCAGTGCTAGGTCTGTATTCCAGAGAGATCATAAAAAAGGGAAAAGGACACACATGTACAAAAATATTGATAGCAGCTCTTTTTGTGGTGGCCAGGGATTGGAGATTGAGGGGTTGCCTGTCCATTGGGGAATGGCTGAACAAGTTGTGGTTGTGATTCTACAAGGAATGATGGGTAGGATACAAAGGACATGCCTGTCCGATGTAGCTGCTGTGGCCATGCCACACTTAGGAGTGTCTGTTATCAAGCACCTGCCCTCACAGCTGTTATGATCAATCTGCTCTGTCCTTGAGCCACTTAGTGCCCCCCACACTCCGCTGTGGAGATGTCTACCCCACCTCCACACAGTTGGCTCTCGGTGTCATTGCCACACCCTTGCCCTTTTCCACTTGGCCTCCCCCACTGTCTAGGCCAGTGACAAACCTCTGCCAAGCTCAGAGCTCCAAGGTCACAGGGAAGAAGTGGGAGAAAACATGCACCTGGATTAAAGTCCTACTGGACTTTGGCAACTGGGAGGGAAAGTGGCCGGGCCTCAGCTCCAGGTTCTGAAGGCTTTGGGCGGGCGTGGGGGGGGGCACCCCCAGAGGCTTCCCCAGTGGCAGGAGGAGGACAGCGGGAGAGAGAAGTGTCTGGCTGTGGAGTCTCTTCTCTCGTGCCCAGATGGTGAGTGACTTGGTGCAGGTGACTGAGGAAAAGCAGGGGGCCAGAGCTGCTAACCTACTTTGGGGCTTGCCGTCATCTTCCCAGATGCATTTCCAGTGACAAAGCCATGCTAATCTCCTTTGTCTTTCAGAATAAGCATTTTAATGGATACGTCTTGGAGGTCTGGAGCCCTTCCTTGCAAGAGCAGCAAAAGTGAGTGTGGGCATGGGACCCAAGAGGTTACTGTCAGGTGGCTGTTAAGGGGTTACTGCTTGGGGGTTAATGTCAGGGGGTTTGTGCCCGGGGTTTACTGCCTGGGGGTTAATGTCAAGGGGTTTCTGTCTGGGGATTACTGCCTGGGGGTTAAAGTCAGGAGTATTCTGCCTGGAGGTTAATGTCAGGGGTTTAGTGTCAAGGGGTTAATGTCTGGAGGTTGATGTCAGGGAAGTACCAGCACAGTCATTGTGGTTTGGCTAACTGAGCACAAGATGGTTGGATTGTCTGGGTTCAAGCCACTGAGTCAAATCGGAGGCAGTAAAGGAGGAGGTGAAAGGCTGAGGAATTTCATACCTTTGAGAACTGAAGTTTCTGCAGGGGTGTGGCAGTCTTCAAGTCCATTGGTGGATGGTTAATCCATCAACCCCCAGGCACTGATTAAGCACCCTGAAGATGCTAGATGCTGGGTGGAGAGCTGGGGCTGCAGAGACAAGGAATGAAGTGATCCCTGCTCAGGCGGAGATATTGGGGATGGGGGGGGGGGAATCCTCCCATCACCATCCCCATATGCATCTGTAGGAATATACAGACTCCAAACAATGTAATTGGCAGGGAGGGCCCAAGCAGCTAGTGGGAACTTGAAACAGGAAAGGCTTTTGGCAGAAGGGGCATTTCAGCCCTGTCTGCAAATGAGAAGAGGGACTTTGGAAAGGAGGGCCTTCCAGGTTTGGATATGGTCAGTGCAAAGGCCTAGAGGCAAGAGATGGAGTGCCAAGCATAGAATCCAGAGAAGGCCACTTTGGTAGGATGGCAGTGGGGGAGGACAAGTCAAGGCCAGTGAAACGGGGAAGGGAGATTGGGGCCAGGTGGTGGAGGGCTTTGAAAGCCAAATGCAGGAGTTTCCTTTGTTTCCCAGAAGCAGTTGGGCACCCCTGGAGTTGATCTCTATCATGACTTATAAAGCCAGTAGCGGGCTGCCAGCACTCACCTCAGAGAACAGGACAAGGTGTGGAGGAAGAGTAGAGGGGCCTGAGGGTGCGCCGGAGGGCAAGCTCTCTGCCAGGGACTTGTACTTGGAGCCAGTTCCATGGCAGCTGGGGTGGGGGTGGGGGAAAAATGGGCAAGAAAAGGCCAACCTTGACGGTGTCTTGTGGGGTGTCGCTCTCCACCCCGGTCATATTACGGAGTTCGGCCCAGTTCCATCTTTTCTGTTGTAAAAAAGTGTGTCGGCTGGGGAGAAATGACTACGGTAACAGAGCAGGCCTGAACCAGAGCAAAGAGGAGCTGCAGAGCCCCTAGAGTGAGATCTGTTCTCCATTTCTGGAGGCCTTCAAGTCCATCTGCTGGGGACGCTCTAGTGGGGATTCTGGGAGGTGGCCCAGCATAGTCTCAAGTCAGGAAGACTTGACCCTGGGCCTCAGATACCTCTGGGCTGTGTGGCCTTGGGCATCTGTCCTCTCCACCTACTTGTTGCAAGGCTCCAATGAGACAATTTTGGTCAAGTGCTCTGCCCATCTTTGAAGTGGTCGGCCATAGGCCAAGGACTGGTAGAGGCTGAGACCTCTTCCAGCCGGGAGGCTCCTCATTCAAAAGAACCTTCCTAAGACAGAAAGGCCGGACTCTGTCACTGCCCTGCTGGCTCCCTGCTGCCCCTAGGGTCAAAGGGGAAATCCTGGCCTCTCCACTTGGGCTCCCACCTCCCTTTCGAGGCTTGTTTCACATTACTCTTGTTCACACAGTTTATGTTCCAGCCAAATCTGTCAGACAGACAGACAGACATACAGGCTGATGGAAAGATAGACAAGTAGACAGATGGATAGACAGACAGACAGATGGGCAGATGGAAGGATAGGCAGACAGATGGACAGACAGATGTACAAGCAGATGGACAGACAGACAGATGTATGGGCAGACAGACATACAGGCAGATGGACAGACAGACATGGGCAAATGGAAAGATAGACAGACAGATATGGGCAGATGGAAAGACAGACAAGTAGAGAGGTGGACAGACAGACAGATGGGCAGAGAGATATACAGGCAGATGGAAAGACAGGCAGACAGACAAGTAGATAGATGGGCAGGCAGACAGACATATGGGCAGATGGAAAGATAGACAAGTAGGCAGATGGACAGACAGACAGACATATGGGCAGATGGAAAGATAGGTAGACAGACAAGTAGATAGATGGACAGACAGACAGACAAGTAGACAGATGGACAGGCAGACAGCCAGAATGAGTGGGCAGTAAGTGCTTACCAGAGACTGTGCTAAGTGCCAAGGACCCAAATAGAGTGTTAAGAAGATGGTTTCCTACCTTCAGTTAGCTTAGAGTCTGGCAGGGGAGACACAACATGAGGAGGACCTGGACTGTAGTGTATGTGTGTATGGGGGGGGGGTGTCCTGCAGTGCTGGTCAGGAGATAGACCCATTCCTTGAACTTTGTATTTCATCTCCCACCCCTGCACTTTTGCCACTGCTGTTCCCCATGCCCAGAATACCTTCCCTCCTCAGCTTAGATCCCACCCCCATGTGTCTTCTCACTTCTCTGAATGTCAGCCCTTAGTGGGCAGAGATGGCCTGGCATGCAGTTGGTGCATAATAAAGGCGAGTGAGGGTGAGTTGATGGAGCAGGATCTTTAGGAGTATGTACAGCTTGGCTCAGAGGGGGAGAGGCATAAATGAATGAATGAATTTATTTAGCACCAGCCCCGTGCCAAAGTCATGAAATCAGGCTGGAGAGATCAGTGCCAGGTTGTGGAGGGCCTTCATGTCCAGTCAGGTCTGGTCTTCAGCGAGGTGCTTGTGGCAGCTGAGAGAAGGGACAGCCCCATGAGAGATGAGGAGCGTCTGAGCTTGGGGGCCCATGGGCTGTGTGAGGGGAGAGAAGGGGACCATGGAGGAAATGTGGTGGAGGCACCACTGACCAGGTGTGGCCACTCTGCTTTGGAGAGGTGATGGTCAGGAGAGGAGTCCAGCAGGAACCCTGGCTTTCTGGGGCAGGGCTTGGAGGGCTTGAAGGTCCAGAGGCCGAGATGCTCACGCTCAGGTGGGGCCTTCTCTGAGCACTTGGACGGGAAGCAACATACTCTGTTTAAAGGCCCTGGGCTTGGAGTCAGGAGGGCATGAAATCAGACCAGAGGAGACCCGCCCTGGCAGTCCCCCTCGAAGCACTCTAGAAACGCTTTTTAGCATTATTGCTGTCACCACCTGCTGCTGCTGTTCTGGGCACTTGGGACATGAGGCCACTGGGGGCCGCAGAGGGCCCAGGTCTGCCTCGAGGTAGCTCCCCGGCCATCCTGTATTTACCACAGTTTATAGGTTGTTCGCTCCCAGCACTTAGCGCCTGGCACATGGTAGGCACTCTGGCAGTGCTCACTGACTGACAGATACATCAGTAAATACAGGACACCTACCCCAAAGTCCACAAGGACACGGGTGGGAGGGCAAGGCCCCAGTAACCAGAAATCAGGAAGCAGAGGCAAGAGCCCAAGCTGGGTGGATGTTTAGAGAGCAGACTGTTACCCAGCTGACCACAGGGTCAGGCCGGGGCGGTAACGACAGCTGGGAGAGGGATAGGAAGGGGGCAAGAGGCTGCAGAGACTTTGAGCTCCCTCCACCAGTTATAACCTAGCAACACTTCCCTGTCTCACGCCAAGCTGCCGTCTTGTTCGCTCTTGACTGTGTGGAGTCGGGGATGTGCAGCCAGTAGGTGGTGACGCGGTCCTGGAGGTCAGGAGAGAGGCGAGGGCCAGGTATACAGATCCAGAGATCCTCCCCATGGAGATGGTGACTAAACCCACAGGAGCTGAGTGAGAAGGGCGTGGTCGGGGAGGCAGGGCCGGAACGGGGAGGTTTCCTGTCCACAAAGCATAAACGGCTTGGTCTTTGTGGCGTTCCTAGAGGCCGCTGTCAGCGGGGCCTTCCAGTTCCCTGGCGAGGTGAAGACTGAGCCTCCAGTTGCTGGCCTGTCTCTGTCCAGGCCGTGAGGATCCTCGTGGGTGGTGCCACTCTGGTTTGGAGCGGTCTTCTTGGGGTCACTGCAGGTTTTTGCCCGGTGGCGGGCGCTCTCCAAGGACGCTGCTAAGTCAGCCTCAGTCTCCCAGCTTTGTGCCTGGCCGGCGCTCACTGTTCTGAAGCTGCGGCTCGACTCTCCCCGGGCCCTCTCCCAGCCATGTTGTTTACTAGTGGCACGTTCTAAGGCCGATTCTCTCCAATAGGATGACAGAGGCCTAAGTCTGGAAGGGCCATCTTATCCAGCCCTTTCATTATGCGGGTCCTCGCAATGGCCGGCATTTCTGTAGCACTTACTCAGTGCCAGGCACGCAGGACTGAGGGCTTACAGATCCTCACAACCACCCCGGGAGGTCGGGTAGAGGCACACTTAGCCTGGCGCTCTGTCAGCTGCCCCAAGTGAAGAAATAGGCCTAGAGGAGAGAATGATTTACCCAAGGGCACAGAATTTACACTCAGGGCCAGGGCATTCTCCACTGAACTGCACTGTCAGGAGGGCAGAGACAGTTTTATTTTTATCTTTGGGTTCCAGCACCTAGCATGGTCCCTGGCACACAGTGGGTGCTCAGTGCGTGCTTACTGAATGAGTAAAGAAATGTGGTGCGACTCTGCTTTCTTAGGTCACTGCTGCAGGCCCACCTGCAGGGCTCACCTGAGGTCTCTGTGGCTTTTCTGGGCTCTTCCCCAGGAGTGAAGGAGAAGTGGCCACCAGGGGGCGTGTAAGGCATCTCTTCCATTCACCCAAGGTGGATCAGCCCTCAGGGGCTGGTGGTGGGACAGAGGTTGTTTTCTTGGGGGGTGCTTCTGAAAACCTGGTGTGTTCCTCATTTCCAGGGGCGCCCCTGCCTGTGATTGCCTTTGGTCTCCTGGTTTGGTTCTCAGTTTGGCCCTTTGGAGTTGGGGTGGGATGGAGGGTCCTGCCGTCCCCCTTTGTCACTGACCCCAGAGCCTGAGCCCTGTCTTACTTTGTCTTGGCTTCTCC